TCCATTAAATTAATGATAGAACCGTGATAATGCCCGAGATATTCCGAATAGAAAATCCAAACCGAGGCCAAAACGTGCGAGAATCGTGTACAAAGCGTGTGAGAAACGTGTACAAAGCGTTTCGTGCAGCCTTTCGTGTAAACCGTGCAGCCTTTCGTGCAAAGCGTTTCGTGTAATGCGTGTAGCGTTTCGTGCAAACCGTGTAGCGTTTAGTGTAAACCGTGCAGCGTTTCGTGCAAACCGTGTAGCGTTCGTGTACCATTCGTGCAGCGAGTGTGTGGGGTAGTAGCACGTCTCAGGGTCTGTAACTACAACCGCAATCTGGTGTATTCGTATACGTACATACAGTCCTATTTTTATCGAGGTAATTTTCGAGGAAGAAATGAGTGGTTTGCAATAAAGAGGCTCCATAGAGACGTCGAAAACAATTTAGCTGACAGAAAAACGGTTTCTCAAAGCAAACGATGTCAATTTTAAGTGGGTTAATTATTCAGTAGGATATTAATAAAAAATGACATAGGCATTGGAAACAAAGTTTTCTTTTTTTGCAAAGATATATATCATATAGGCATTAACCATTTTGTTGGTTAACCCCCTGCCCCCTTTTAATATCCTTCCGACGCGTACGCCTATGTATGAGCTTGAAGCGAAGCCTGTGGTGCTTGAACTATATAAATTTCATATGAAGTAGAAATAGACAATATAATCATTCTGAAAGTTTTGTTTCGTTTCGTTGCGGCAGGTTACGTTTTTGATTTAGTTTCGTTTTGTCTTCATTTCGTTTCGTTTTGGTAGGTTTCGTTTCGGCAGATTTCGTTTGAGTTCCTTTTGTTTCGTTTCTATTTCGTTTCGCATTTTACAGTTACCCCTTTATACAAGGGGAGATAATCAGGAAAATAAAACCAAAAGCACTGGTTGCTAAAAAATCTTCTCCAGAACCACCAGACAGATTTTCACCAAACTTACATAGGCAAACCCTTGGGCAAAGGGCATGGTCTGAAGGTCACTTCAAAGTTGACCTTAATTTACAAGTAACAAAAACATTTATAATTTGCTTATTATTAAGAACTAGGATCATCAAATCTTGTTAGTTGATGCATCTTAGGACTTCACATCATGTTAACTCAAAAATAGGTCACGGTGACCTACTTTGTTAATTTTGTGGGCATTTGTTTTCAGATTGATTTGGAGGAATATTTTGGACACTTTAATGCTTATGATCATCAAACTTTGTCAGTTACTGCTTCTTGAATCCTTCGAACAATTTCAACTTGAAAATAGGTCACCTTGACCTACATTTTGAATTTTATGGCTAATCTTTTCTAAAGATACTGAGAGGTAAAGAATCATCAAATTTTGTAAATCGATGCATCTTGGGGCTTTAAAAAATACTTATGAAAAAGTAGGTCACAGTGAACTACTTTTTGAATTTTGTAGGCATTTGTTTTCAAATTGTTTAAAAGGCATATTTTGAATACTTTCTGACTTATGATCATCAAACTTTGTCAGTTGGTGCAACTTGGGTCTTTGGAGAGTAACGACTAAAAAGTAGGTCACGGTGACCTACTTTTAACGTTTTTTTTTTTTTTGGTTATTATTATGTGTCTCTCTAAGTTACTTATTAGCTTTGAATCCTCAAATTTTGTCAGTTGATTCATCTTGGGTTTCGGAGAGAAACGACCAAGAAGTAGGTCTTCGTGACCTACATTTGACATTTTATGGCTATATTTAAGTATTATAAGTACTTATTGGCTTACAATAATCAAACTTTGTCAGTTGATGCATCTTGAATTTTCTGAGAGTAACGACCAAGAAGGACGTCACAGTGACCTTCCTTTGTCGTTTTATTGCTATATTTAAGTATTTTTGAGACTTATTGGCTTTGAATGATCAAACTTTATCAGTCGATGCATCTTGGGTTTTCAGAGAGTAACAACCATAAAATTGGTCACAGTGACAAAAATGTAGGTCACCCTGACCTATTTTGACATTTCATGGCAATATTTATGTATCTCGGGTACTTATTAGCCTAGAATTGATAAACATTGTCAGCTGATGCAACATGGGTTTTGGATAATGTAGAATTTTTAGTAAGTCACAATGATCTCTTTTTCTGAGTATCTCAGGCATTTTTTTTTTTACTAGGAATCATCAATCTTTGTCAGATGGTGATCTTAGATTTATTGGAGAATGATGACTAAAAAGTAGGTCAGAAGTACTTCTGGTGATTTATGCCTATATTTAAGTATCTCGTGTACTTATTGGCTTAAAATCGTCAAATTTTGTCAGTTGATGCACTTTGCATTTTCGGAGAATGTCGACAAAAAGTAGGCCATGGTGACCTACTTTTGAATATATCAAGTACTTATTGGCTTTGAATCATTAATCTTTGTCAATTAGTGCATCTTGAGTCCTCAGAAAATTTTCAATCAAAAAGCAGGCCACCGTGGCCTATTTATGGTAATTTATACCATATTGAAATATCTTCAGTCCTAACTGGCTAGGAATCATCAAACTTTGTCATTTGATGCATCTTTGGTCTTAGGATATTTAGAGTTCAAGGCTTCAAATAGAAGTGATAAATTGCACCATTTATAATAAGAGCGATTCAAGGCCCAGTCTAAAGCGAAATCGCCACTTTTCCATGTCTTTAGCAGCCATTTTGTCCAATCATATGACCTGATCTGGAGTCAGCTGATTTCCAATACAGTAAAACACGGTCATAGCGAAGTCCTGGGGACCTGTGAATTTAATTCGCTATATCCGTATTTCGTTATATCCGTATAACGAATTCGTATAACCATATATAACGAATTCGTAATATGCATGTTTTCCTTCAAGTGTTACTATCAAATATGTTAGGGAAGCAAATATTACAAAACATACCTTCGATAACTAAGGTTTTATTATGAATTGAATTTTATATACAAATGCTGAGAGAAAATAAAGTCAGTTCAATTATTCAAATTTTGAAATCTTTGAAAGTTCGTTATAAAAGATGTAAAATTCATTATATTTAACCTCAACGGGACTCAAAATCAGTTCGCTATATCCGTAAATTCGTTATATCAGAGTTCGTTATAACCGTAAAATTTTACAAAGATTTGTTAAGAATTTTGCCGGGGACCCAGAAAAACTTCGTTATATCCGTGAATTCGCTATATCCGTGTTCGTACTAAACGTGTTTTACTGTATTTGTTACTAATGTAAATCACTGGTCAAGTGGTGCTCGATGTGAACAAAAATTAATAAATAGTCTTTATTTAACACCAATACCAAAAGAGAACGTCTAACAGTGACTTGTCTGTTTATTATGCAACAATCCATGTACATGCATTTGAAAAAAAAATATATATGTACAGAAATTAATTTTACAAATCAAGTTTAGATAAAATAAGATTTGGTTGATTTTTTTCATTGCATAAAATATTCATTCCTTACACAAGAAAAAAAAATGTTGCTTTGATGAGGGATGATGCATTTACATTGTAAGAATGAGTTATATACAAATATTATATTAATTTTCTTGGATTCATTGCATTTTGTTTGAATTCATCGCACAAAAGTCATGCGGAATAAAAAAAAAATCAAAAGTAAGATCGCTTATGTCGAACACCTAACGTTCTTGTATAATTTGTTGTGAAATAGATAATATAAACACAAATAATATGACATATTTGTATATGAATTCCTTTAAAAAGATGAACCTCTATCTAAACGTCACCTCTCTATAACCGTAACTAAAATGAATCTCGTAGGTGACTGCTTAATACAGGTTTGACTGTAGTTATGAGAAGTAATGGTGCCTCTTTCATTTTATTATAGACTAGTTAATAGCTTTAAAATACATGTAATAAAAGAGACAGAAAAAAATGCAATCAGAACAGGTTATGTAAATTGTAATCGCTATCAGGTGAACTCCTACAAATATCGTTTGACATTTAATTAATTAAGGGAATCCATTGGCAACGCAGTACAGTTAAGGTGCGCAATGGAAATATCGACTAAATTTTGTATTTAAAAATGTATTCGTAATCGGGATGGCGATTATTTTTAGTACATTATTTATACCGGATTTTTGTAATTATAATTAATAACTATATATTGAGAACAATTATATTTTATATTTAAACCAGCCACGTGTTGCGACAGTCAGGCGATTTTAGCACATTGACTTGATGTATTGATGTTACATATAAATATCACTAGTGCAAGGGCATAACTAAGTTAGATTTCCAAGTTTAGTATATAAATATTTTCAGCACGCATTGTAGGCTCTAAAAAGTGCTGCAATCCTGTCTAAATTCTGCAATTTCATTGTTAAAATTATACTTATATGACCGAATGCTATATTATTTTCCTGGTCACCGGCATGAAATATTGATATAGTTTAATTGTTTTTAAGATTTCATCAGGATCGCAGCACTTTTCAGATACCTTAATAGTACTATAGATAAAATGTAAAAGCTTACTTTGATCCATAGAGTGTATGCCCTTGCACTAGATCGATTTATTATGACCCCCACATTACCCTCCAATGTACTTGAATACAAATATACGGTTGTGTTAATTAAATACGTAATGTACAGAGAATACGAGTATATTAATAAAATAGTAAACAAGACATCAAATTCAAGTTTTGGCTCATAGAATATCTGTAAATAATATTTTATTTAATTATACAATATGTATATTGTTGAGAAAATATTACTTGATCTGTCTCTCACTGCATACAAACTACATCACCTTTTAAGAAATAACGTCATGTTGACAAGTGTATTTCGATGAGTGACTTGTTTATAACTTGTTATGTGGGATTTAACTAACGAGAAACCAACACGCTTTCGTAAGTTTTATGTAGTTTGATGATTTCTTACTAGTTAAATTAGCCGATTAACTCATTTTGTGGTATTTTAAAGAAATTTTGTATGACGTATATTGTACGTGATGTCATAGTCAAGTTTTCCGTACAAATTAGGCTCCGCCTCCTTTTTGTAACCTTAACTGTGCTGCGAAATTCTCTGTATTCTCATTTCTGTAGCTGCTTGTATGTTGTTGAATGGTTCTTGTCTGAGAGATTGTTGGTATGAGTATAGAGCAGCCTGAAGGTTCCCTGTCACCTGTTGACAGATCCCCAGAATCTGCCATGATATGTCTCTGGGAAGAAAAGATATAATCTGTCCCTGATCATAGTGAACTAGGGTCTGTAGATCATCTAGAGCTGTTTGAACTCTCATTGTGTCGACATGTCTGTAGCACAAAATCTCTAGCATATATAACAGTACCAAGGGTGGTACAAATAATAAAGATTTGTGTCTATGAAGAGCAGACTGTTGTTCTGGTATCAGTTCACTGATGTAATGGATTTTACTGTAAAGTGTGATAACCCCTGCTTTAGTTTGTCTCATTTTTGTAGACCAGGACTGTCCCCCTACAGCCTCAGTATACATCTCTGCATTATCCACATGCATCACATTAGGCTGTGCTAAATTGACCTTGACCATCTGTATAATAGATAAAGCTTCCATGTATCTGAGTGTCTTGTTATAATACATGGCAATGTACAGCATGTCTGCGATACAACCAAACCTGGCTGTTAATTTCAGCATGTGACAGGAGATTTTGTCAGCTCTATATCTCAGTTTGTTGTCAGGTGTGTAAGTTTCCATGTGTAATATAAAAGCAGTGTTCTTAAGGATCCTAGCGGTGATGATCTGTAGCTTGACGACTTGATACTGTGTCAGGAGGGGTGAACCTATCATCTGTTCTATTGTATGTAGATATCTAGTGCAGATTTGTATGTCCAATTTGCCTTCTACTATGTAAAGCCGTAGTATTTCAACAAATAGATTTCTATCAAACTCAACTTCAGAAATAAGAGTATGATCATCTATAGAAATGGGGTTTCTTGGGTTATAGAGGACATCTATAATACAAGACCTAATGGAGGGACTATGTAGCAGGAATGCTAAACCCTTTTCATACAACTCAGACAGTCTTTTAAATAATTGCTGCTGTTTGACACCATGAATTTTACTCAGAAACATGTTGTTGCCTGGAATGAAAAAGTTTGGACAGACCCCCTCATACACCCATTTGAGGATGAGTTTAAAACAGACCCAGAATGCCCAAAGGAGATTTTGTGGACACCAGTGAGGTATTGTATTTTTTTGAATCACCCAGAAAACTGTTGTCTTCATGTGATATGAACACAGTAATTTATCATCATCACCTACTCCATAGTTAATTATTTCTGTTAAGATCAATTTTAGGAAGCCGTAAGTTAAGAACTGACAGTGATTCATTACATACACAAGTTTTTGTTCTGCTCGGGAGAAAGAAATTCTCCATTCATGATCTTCATGATTTCCTAGCCTATGTCCAATTGCTACAAAGTGACATCCATTTTTCACTATATTATCAACAACATGAGGCTGGGGCCATGAGTGACATCTGTCTATCCATGGGAAGGCAGAGGGAGGCCAAAAGTCACTGACAAAACAGGGGGCATGATCATAATCATGTGTTCCAAATGTTCCACTGACACAAGGTCCATGTGGAGTGGAGACACAAGGTAGTGATGACTCAGATAAACAGATCTGTCTGAATTTTGAACTAGATACATAACATCTGTTATTCATTCTAACACACATTATTCCGTTGCATATGTCAGTACTTGACGAGAGAAAACATAACAAAGTAAATCCTGGTGGACTATCAGAATAGTCAGAGAGGATCAGTTTGCGTCTGTGTGTGTTGTAATACTGAGACTGAGATAAGTCCCATATCACACGGATATTATTTGGCCAGAACATTTCGTCTATATCTGATCCTTTCAGTCTGAGTCCTTCTCTGTAACTTCCACTTAGCATCCTATCGTACTCATCACTAGTTCTCACTTGATGATTTACCACCATATCCCTGATGTCCATCACATCTCTTCTCATGGCCACCAGTCGTGAGGTACCCAATTTACGACACAGTCCCACAAACACAGACTCTGATATGCGTTGTATGGCTCTAGTACTGAAAATGATAAAAGTGGAATTGATAATTTTTACATTCATAAATCATAAAATAAAAAAAATATTTCCTCATCTGAATCAGTTATTTTTCAGCTCAACTAAATCATTCATTTTTTTAATAGTGAAATTTATAACTAAAAGTTTGGAGGATATATATTATGTTTTAAATTCAGGGGTGTAAAAAGTTATTAAAAAAAATTTTAACAAATTTTTAATTTGTTTCTGGAGGGATCTGAAACAAATTATATGTCAGTCAATAAATTGTATCTTCGTCAATAAGATGCTCCCTGTTTCTCAAGTAATAGGATTTATTTCATGTTTGCCAAAGGGAGACAAACCTAGACAATTTTTAAGGAAACTGGCCACCCATTACTCTACTAAATGTGGTTTACAAATTAATTTCAGGGTGTCTAAGTTTTAGAATTAAATCCACTTTAGATTATCTTATTTGAGACACTCATTCGGATTTTTTAAAAGGAAGATACATTGGAGAGAATACAAGATTTATTTATGATTTAATGGAATATACTGACCATAAAAATATACCTGGATTACTAGTGTTGATTGATTTTGAAAAAGCTTTCGACTTCATTTCGTGGACTTTTATTTATAAAGTACTAAAATATTTTTGCTTTTTTGAGTATATATAATTGAATGGATCAAGATTCTAAATACAAATTAAAGGCTTCTGTGTAACAAAGTGGGTTTTTATCTGAACAAATCAATATAAAGAGAGTATGTAGACAGGGTGACCCAATCGCACCATATTTGTTTCTCCTGTGTGCCGAAATTCTAGCTATCTTGATACCTTCATCAAACAAAATAAAGATATAAAGGGCATTATGATACATGATAAAGAACATAAAATAAGTCAGTACGCTGATGATACATCTCTTGCTCTTGATGATTCACCTAAATCTTAATTCGCTACCTTGGATACCTTAGATTTTTTCTCAAAAATATCTGGTTTAAAAGTTAACAGCTCTAAAACAAAAATAAAAGGATAGGTTCAAAAAAGTTTTCAAGTCAGGTCTTTCATCATCCTAGATGGAAACTTGGCTGGGGCTCCACAACATTTAATTTTTTAAGTATTAACTTTTCAGTCGACTTAGAACAAATTTCACATTTAAATTATGGAATACAGATTCCAAAAATAAAAAACATGCCACAACACTGGATTGATTGATTGATTGTATTCTGTTTAACGTCCCTCTCCAGAATATTTCACTGATATGGAGACGTCACCATTGCCGGTGAAGGGCTGCAAATTTAGGCCTATGCTCGGCACTTGGCCTTTGAGCAGGGAGGGATCTTTATCGTGCCACATCTGCTGTGACACGGGGCCTCGGTTTATACGGTCTCATCCGAAAGACTGCCCCATTTAGTCGCCTTTTACGACAAGCAAGGGGGTACTGAGGACCTATTCTAACCCGGATCTACAACATTGGAAAAGAAGAACATTGAAAAAGAAGAATTCTAACACCAATAAATCGAGTCACTGTTGTAAAATCTGTTATTTTTCCAAAATTAAATCATTTGTTCTTATCACTCCCAACCCCTTAAGGGTAGATAATTTCATCATTATGCAGAGATATTTTTGAATTTATTTGGAATGCAAAATGTGATAGGGTTAAACGTGCAGTTTTAACACAAGATTATCAGCATGGAGGATTAAAAAAAGGTCGACATAAGCAATTTAAAGACTTGATTTTGGTGATGCATTTATTTCTGAATGTGTTATACCCCAAAACAATTGTTTTTGGCAAGAAGTTTTAAAGTCTATGCTTTATGTTATTAGATCGTTTGATAGAAAATTCTACATAGAAAATTGTCCTAATATTCCTGTGTGGTACAATTCAAATATAAGAGTTGGTTCAAAAACGCTGTTTATAAAAAGCTGGTATGAAAATGGTGTGAAACTTATTGATGATTATTTAGATGAGGAAGGAAATATTTTATCTCATGCTATTTTTCAACAGAAATTTGATAATCAAGTATTCATCATGCAATATACAGTGTAATGAGTGCAATATCATACTACATAAAATCTATTGGAAGCAAAAGTTTACTTAAAAGATCTACTCCATATATCCCAATGTATTATAAACATTTTCTTTTGCAAAACAGATGTACTTAAACTATATATGAACAGTTAAATGTAGATATAATTATTCCTACTTCTGTAGAGAAATGGAATTTAGAGCTCGGCCTAAATGGTATAGAGTTATGTGTTAAGGATGTTTTTAATGCTTGTTTTAAGACTACCAAAGACTCTTCAATTCAATGGCTACAATATAGAATTCTTCACAGAATTTTACCTGTTAAGTATTATTTGAAAAAAAAAATCAATGTTATGTCATCTGATAGCTGTTCTTTTTGTGAACATCATGTTGAGACAATACATGTACAACATGTTTTTATAAATTGTGAAAAGGTTTCCTCACTATGGAGTGATCTTAGTATGCATATATATCAAAAAACTTAAAAAAGAATTGGTTTTAATGTAATTAACATTTTATTAGGTAAACTTCAATTGTCTATAAAGGCAACAAAATTGTAAAATTCTTGATCATGTATACAAACCAATATTTTTTTTCTTGTCTTAAAAAAGACAAAATGCCAAACCTCTTGGAACTTCTCTTTCATTTATACAATAAATATAGAGTTGAAAAATATATTGCAAGCCAAAACTTGGAAATGCCAAAGTTTGATAATACCTGGCAAAACTGGAAATGTTTATTTGAAAATCTCATTAAGATATAGACTGTTACAATATATGACACTTTTTTCAGATATATTGATATGTATATATAATTATTACATCTCTTTTTTTCTGTCTACACATAAGAACGAATATAAACGCCACTTACCAAAAAGAATGAGTGTGAGTGAGAAAGTGTGAGTAAATGGAATGGAAAAAAATACTTTGTTGTAATATGTTTGTAATAAGACGAAAATAAAAAAAAAGATGTTAACAAATAACCCTAATTACACTGATTCAGATGATTTAGGAATTGTTTTAAGAGTTATAAATTCTTGGCATTAAAACTTACATTTGTGAGCTTCTAATAGAGTCCATTTTCAGTGGCGTATATTTCATTCTGCTAATGTGTAGGTTAGTGTGAAGCAACAGATTTAACCTGAGGTGCAAAGTGTGGGCAGACAAGGAGCTTCCTCACGATTAAAATTGAGATCGAGCTTAGACATCGACCATTTTAATTTGACAAGTGAATATAATATTGTAGACCTTTCTCATTTATATCATGATGTGTAACTCTGCGATGGAAATATGGAAATTTCCTTACTGAATCCAATTCCATCAAAATGTTAAATTTCCTACCTACCCAATATAACTCTAGTTATCAATATCGTTTCCTGTATGTATTTTGGAATCCTGTTGCTTTCGATGAAATTTTCTGATTCATACCTGAAATTAATAACAATTGAACTTTAGCTTAAAATTTTTCCAGCTATGTGATTAGTTTTGTCTTTAAACATAAAGCAAAAGTGTACCATAACAGGATAGGTATAACATAGTTAATTGCTAAAATGGTGTTTATGCCCCCCCCCCCCCCCAATGAATATGGCGGGGGCATATAGTGTTTGTTATGTCCGTCTTCTGTCCTTCCGTCACACTTTGCAGTTCACAGCTCAATTTCCAAGAAACTAATATATTTTCATCAGACTTCATATACTGTTAGATGTTGATGAGAGTCACTCAGGTGACCTATTGCTATCCGTTTTTGTCCGTCGACGTGCATCACAATTTGATGTATTGACCCCGGGATCAGGGGTTTTTGTTTTAGGGTGGGGTTCTATTGATTATATTGTCAAATGCATAAATTCTTTGAAAACTTTCTTCTTTGCTCTTAGGTATTAAATAAAATAATAAATAATGGGGCTCTTTTGATCATATAGTGAAAATACATTGAATCTTTGGAAGTATTTTCTGCTCCTGGGTATTGACTATGTACATAGTTATGATGAGCAATAGTGTCTCTTCCCAAATTGTGAATTTTATGGCCTGAGGTTCAGGGATTCTGGTGTTAGGGTTTGGCTCTATTGATTACATATTGAAAATGCCTTGATTCTTTGAAAATCTTTTCTGCCCCTAGGTATTAGATAAAGTAACTTAGTAGTACATAGTTATGATTAGCAAAATTGTGAATATCATGGGCCCAGGGTCAGGGGTTCTAGTGTTAGGGCATGCAGGGATCTATTATGATTATACATGTATAGTGAAAATACATTGATTAAATCTTTGAAAATTTTCTTCTCTGCTCCTGGGTATTTAATAAACTAACTAAGTATATAATTATGAGCAAGAGCGCCTCTTTCAAAATTGTGAATTGATGGCTCCAGGATTAGGAAATCTGAGGATAGGGGTTCTATTGATTAATTATATACTAGGGAAAATACACAAAATCTTTGAAAATCTCTGCTCTTAGGTATTTAATAAACTAACTTAGTACATAGTTATGATTAGCAAAATTGTGAATGTCATGGCCCCAGGGTCAGGGGTTCCAGTGTTAGGGCTCTATTATGATTAATATACATGTACAGTGAAAATACATAGATTGAATCTTTAAAAAATTTCTTCTCTGCTCCTGGGTATTTAATAAACTTACTAAGTATATAATCATGAGCAAGAGTACCACAAAATTGTGAATTGATGGCTTCAGGATTAGGAAATCTGAGGATAGGGGTTCTATTCATTAATTAAATACTAGTGAAAATACACAAAATCTCTGCACCTGGGTATTTTGCAGATGAATTTTCTATATAATTATGATGAATAAGCGCCTTTCTTCTAGAATTGTGAATTTTAAGGCCTCTGGGTCAGGGGTAACATAGAGGGGGTGGGGGTAAGCCCTACTTCTATACTGAAAATGAATTATTTTTTTAAAATCTACTCCTCGTTATTAATCAAACATTTTTGATAAACACGAATGCCTTTTCAAAAATTGTGGAATGCTTGGACCTACTGGGTCGGGGGTTCATGTGTGGTACATGTAGGGGCATTACTGAATATTGCTGAATATAACTGATACGTTGAAATACAGTTGTTGTTCCCCTACCCTGTGTATCAGTATAAAGTAACCAAAGTAAGCAATTGCTAAGTGTATAGTTATGATCAGCAACGGCGCCTCTTTCAAAATTATGAATGCAATAGCATCTAGCTTAAAACATGAACCAAATTCAATCACTTGAAAGTTATTGCATGATGCTCAGATTACCTATAAGGTCCATGGACCTTTTGTTGCTTTAGGTTGTAGGAGTTTTCTCCCTTTAAACAGAGCTTTAGTGTTTGATTGCTTGAAAGCAGAGAATTGTTGAAGAAATAATTTTGCCACATGGTTTCTTGTCTCTCAATGATTCGCTACACTGTAATTACAGGATATCTTCCATTAATATGATCAAAATTGAATTTTGAGTTTTTATTGTGAATCAAATTCCTTTGATGATTAGTTCATGTAATAAGATTGTGTTTCAAGAGGTTGGCTGAAAATTGTTAAAATATTGCAGTTTTCTTTAATGCAAGTAATGTAGGGTATGTATGTGGTGCCTCTTTCATTTATTATAGACTAGTTATTAGCTTTATAATACATGTAAAAAAAACAGAATACAGGTTTGACTGTAATTCAGCTTCATAACATATGAAATCAAACAGACAGAAAAGAAAATATGAAATCAAAAGAGGATATGTAAATGATGAATCTCTTTCAGGTGAACTCCTATAAATATCATCTGGCATTTAATTCATTAAGGAAATCCATTGGTAAACTCTCTGTATTCTCATTTCTGTAGCTGTTTGTATGTTGTGGGTTGATTCTTGTCTGAGAGTTTGTTGGTATGAGTACAGAGCAGCCTTGAGGTTCCCTGTCACCTGTTGACAGATCCCCAGAATCTGTCATGATATGTCTCTGAGAAGTAAAGGTATAACCTGTCCCTGATCATAGTGAACTAGGGCCTGTAGATCATCTAGAGCTGGTTGTGCTCGCCTTGTGTCGACATGTCTGTATCACAAAATCTCTTGCATGTATAACAGTACCAAGGGTGGTATAAATAATAAAGACTTGTGTCTCTGTACAGCAGACTGTTGTTCTGGTATCAGTTCACTGATGTAATGCATTCTATTGTTTAGTGTGATAATCTGTCTGACTGTCTCATTTTTGTAGACCAGGACTGTCCCCCTAGAGCCTCATTGTATATCTCTGTATTTAAATTTGACCTACATGTATACATCACATATGGCTGTGCTAACTTGACCTTGATCATCTCTATTATAGATAAAGCTTCCGGGTATCTAAGTGTTTTGTAATAATACATGGCTATGTACAGCATATCTGTAATCCAACCAAACTTGGCTGTTAATTTCAGTGTCAGCTCTATAACTTAGTTTGTTGTCAGGTGTGTAAGTTTCCATGAGTAATGTACTGATTTTTTATGAACAAAGGGAAGTAACGCTTCCGGATTTTCTTGAGTGAGTTTGATTTTGTTATTACTCTACTTCCTTGATTACCAAGTGAGAAACCATGGCAATGAAATGTCAGACCAAACTAAAAACGTGATCGTACAATTATTAGAAAGTGGGCACAGGGCATCAGCAGTTTCTAAATGTTTAAAGATAAACAAGTCTACAATTGTGAAATTTTTAGCCACGGACACATTTTGAGAAAAAGTTTCATTGTCATAATTACGATTTTAACAAACCCCTGCTGTTGAAGAAACTTAAAGCTATGAATTTCTGCTTTAATGCAAGAAGCTTACAGTAGAATGTTTCGTTTAAAAAAGACATAGTGATTTATGACAGCTGATCCCATCTCTGATGTTTTTAAGAAGAAAGTCCTTGTTCTGCTCCTGATATGTTGAATTGACAGCAGATAATTATATGACCTGATTTAGAGTCGGCTGATTCCCAATATTTTTTACTAATGCAATTAATATGTCAAGTGGTGCGGGATCGTGAACAAAAATTAATAAGTACATATCCAATATTTGTTACTAATGTAAATAATTGGTCAAGGAGTGCGGGATCTTGAAAAAAAAGTCTCTTTTGTATACCAACAACAACTGAGTGCGTCTGACAGTGACATGTCTGTTTATTAATAACAAAGCATGTACATGAATTTAACAAGAAAAATATATGTACAGAAGTTAATTTTACAAATCAAGTTTAGATAAAATAATATTTTTCAGTGATTGATTTTCTTCATTGCATAAAATATTCATTCCTTACACAAAAAAAAAATGATTGCTTTGATGGGGGATAATGCTTTTTCCTTGTAGGATACAATTATACAAATATTTAATTATACACGCACTTTCTAAAGAAAGTTCGGGTATATTGTTGTTACTCATGTCCGTCCGTCCGTCCGTCTGTCACACTTTTCTTCCCTGAACTCCTCCTACATTTTACACAGTAGCTTAATCATCTTTTGGGAGATGGTTTGTGGGGTCATGTAGATGTGCAGTAAGGTTTTGGAATTTCGATTTTGCCCCGGGGGGTCAAATGGGGGTCGAAAAATGACGTTTTTTGTCCAAAAAGCCCCGTCTTCCCTGAACTCCTTCTACATTTTACTCAGTAGCCTAACCAGCTTTTGGGAGATGGTTGGTGGGGTCATGTAGATGTGCAGTAAGGTTTTGGAATTTTGATTTTGCCCCAGGGGGTCAAATGGGGGTCGAAAAATGACGTTTTTTAACCAAAAAGCTCCGTCTTCCCTGAACTCCTCTTACATTTTACTCAGTAGCCTAACCAGCTTTTGGGAGATGGTTGGTGGGGTCATGTAGATGTGCAGTAAGGTTTTGGATTTTCGATTTTGCCCCGGGGGGTCAAATGGGGGTCGAAAAATGACGTTTTTTAAGCAAAAAGCTCCGTCTTCCCTGAACTCCTTCTACATTTTACTCAGTAGCCTAATCATCTTTTGGAAGATGGTTGGTGGGGTCATGTAGATGTGCAGTAAGGTTTCGGAGTTTTGATTTTGCCCCGGGGGGTCAAATGGGGGTCGAAAAATGACGTTTTTTGTCCAAAAAGCCCCGTCTTCCCTGAACTCCTCTTACATTTTACTCAGTAGCCTAACCAGCTTTTGGGAGATGGTT